TATCACTTACTTATAAGTTTATAAATAAAATAAGAAGATTAATATATAAAAGCGAAATCATTCAAATAAGTGATCTAAAAATACTTGATCAATTAATGAGCAAGTTGTGAGAATGGATCCTAAACTTATTTTGAACCCTAGAGAGTACCCTAATACGGGCAAGTTGAAAGAGCAGTCTAAATTAAAGGTTGATTACCTTGTTACCCCTTTTTATTATTTTAATACCGATGATAGGATTAATTATTATTTTGGAGAATAAAAATTACTTTAATGAAAGGACAAAAATTAGAATATATTTACAGGAATGTCACATTCATTTCGTCTAAACGTAAGGTTAATTACATTTTATCCCGCAACTGAATAATTATAAACAACAACGCCATTATTTTAAAACTTTCGGAAACAAACTTACATTAATTAAAGGACAACAATTTTAAGATATTTACAGGAATGCCCTCTTCATTTCGTCCAAACGTGAGGCTAATTACTCTTTACCCCCGCACTTGAATAATAATTATAAACAAGAACGCCATTATTTTTTTATTTTTTTAAACTAAATTTTTCTTAAGTAAAGGACAATAGTTAAAGATATTTACAGGAATGTCATCTACATTTTCAATGTAGGAAGAAACTCATAGATTCGTTTTCAATATGTGAAGAAATTTTGCTAGATTTCACGATTTGCCAAATTCTTGACACATGTAGACGATTCTCGTTACGGGTACTTTGATTTCTTCATAGTTCGGAAACTTTTTGTTTAAAATATTTACTTTCTGAAATCAATCTGGTGCACGTATTGGAGAAGCATGTACATTCATTCAGACTGCCAGAGCAATTGGAGAAGCGAAATACTTCGATTACTTATTACCTTCCATCGTATTTAATTGGACAAGAGATTTGCTTGGATTTTGAAAAATTTCTCATTTTTCAAGACTATACAATCAGTCTGCCATGGGATGCGATCGAATGCCATGGAATCCCAGCATTTCATGGCATGTATTCAACAACGGCTCGCAGGCTATTCAATCATTCAGCCGTGGAATGCGATAGAATACCATGGAATGCCATCATTTCATGGCATTTATTCAACAACGTCTTACAGATTATACAATCACTCTGTCGTGGAATGCGATTGAATGCCAGCATTTCATGGCATTTATTCAACACTGTCTCGCAGACTATATGATTAGTCTGCAATGGAATGCGATTGAATGCGATGGAATTTATTCAACAATGTCTCGCAGACTATATAATCAGTCTGCCATCATTTCATGGTATTTATTCAACAACATTTGCGCAGACTATACAGTTCGTCATTTCATGGCAATTATGCAATGACCTCTCATTCTTGCGCAAGAAGCAAGCATCACAACAACCATGGTATAACTCCGGTGAATATGATCAAAACTTGTTTGGTTTTTCTGACATGTCCTCTTTCAGAAAAAAACCATATATATGGGAATTCCTTGAACTAAAATTATCGTAATAATCATCTAAAATTATGAAAAAATACCTGGGATTCAGAAACAATGCTTGAGTTTCAAGGTGGAAAAAGACATGACGTGTCCGAAGTATTTTGTTTTTCTCGTTTATATTAGCCTTTTTGTAACGCCCTCGATCATCGGGTAACGCCCTTTGACCGAGAATGCTACGTACTGACCCGAGGATGGCTGATCCTAAGTTCCAGAAACGGATCAAGGGACTCGAGACCAACTGTCCGCGGATCAGTTTACCCGTACTGATCAGAACCAGGGCTTTGCAACCCGGAACCGACTAGCACAGTTGGTTTGATCCAGACAAGATCAGCGCAGCAGTGTCACTTGCGAATGTTTGGAAAACATTCGTTCATACTTAGCATATATTACATACGGAAAAACCTTGGCAAACTATATACGTCGGATGCGAGGTTCAAAATCGTACATAATACATACTAAAGAGTTTGCAAGATGAACAGAAAAACCTACCCTGGCTTCCCTAAGTCCAATGTGGCCCGCTACAAGCTTTTCCCCTAAGGTTACCTGCAGGACAAAATGTTATGGGATGAGCAATTTGAAAATTACTCAGTGAGCAGAGCGTGAAAATAACACACCCAATCCCCAAGTAACCAAACAAACAACAGCAGCAAGTAAGCAGATTATGAAGTAAACAGGGAAACAAAGTGTTCCTTTGCTCTGTAGCACTACCTATGGCACTTTCCGCGATACGGATCACTGGCCTCATGATCAACTGCGGTACCTAATTCGCGGTTTGGGTCCGTTTCCTTAGCCGAAATGATACTTCTTCACCTGTTCCTTACTTTATTCATTTCAGAATACTCCTTTCTATGCCTTATGTGCCGTTCCACTATGCTTGGCCTCTGGTCGCGACATTTACCCAAGCGGCTGGTCATAACTGTAACACCCGTGAACCAAAAAGTGGATTTATGGGTTG